AGCGATTTCAAGGCCTCTCTTGGAAGAATGCTACTCCGTAAGAGAAAAAAAACGGGAGCAGAAGATTGGGGGAGTTGGCCAAGGTGTTCTTTTTTAAGGGAGCCCCTTCAAACGGGCCAGGCCGAGGAATCCTGGCATCCCGAACCTGGAGGGAGCTTGCGGAGGGTGCTTTGTTCCACGATATTCCATTCCTCTCCCCACCCCCACCCCACCCCTCCTCTCTCTTTATCAAATATTTGAAGACGGAATAATTCCATTTGTAGATGTCTTTGGCCAGGCAATCGCTTTCAGAAAGGGCTCATTGCAGAGATCTGGAATAAACAGTGCGCTCCCCCTTGGGCTGGGAGAAGGGCCACTGGCCACGTGGGGGCAGGGAAAGGGACCCCAGGTGCGGTCCTAAGTTGTGCCACACTTTCCATCACTCACAGGCTGCGAGAGAAAGGCCAGCTTCCCCGGATGACGTCACCGTGGGCCTTGCCCCTGATCCTGGGGCCTATGTTTTTCTTTCCCATTTTAATTGGGTTTGGAGGGTTCAATTTGGGGACTAGGGAGAAAGACTTCCTATTAGCACTGTGTTGCCCTTATAAATGAAGTTGGAGGGGGGCAAGATCTCAGGACAGAGAGAGGTGGAGGTAGGGGACAGTTATCCAGCCAGAGTACTAGCATGGGGTGACTTGGGGGTGGGGCTGGGGGTGGGGGGACTGGAGTCAGGCTGGGCTGGGCCTGGAGATGTTCCTTTAGAGCAGTGGTTCCCAAATGGGGCACACGCCCCACGGGGGGGGGGGCAATTTGATTTTTAAGGGGGGCAATTGGAGAATGAGTGATTAACAGTGAATTTGAATTTTTTGCATTTCTATGGTTCTAGGGGCCTCATATTCAGTATATACATATATATTGTATTTATGCATTCCAGTTCCCTATTATATGTTTTGAAACTTTATTTGCTATTCTTTCATATCACTTCATTTTTTTAAAAACAATTTCTTGGTGATTCCTTCCTCAGTACTTCAACTGTCCTTTCATTCTTCTATTTTTCTCTTTCATGGATGCCATGTTCTTTGGAAGCTTGTTTAGACCAAGTGAATGGCCTTTTAGGCTTCCTCCACGTGAATAGGAGTTCACTGTTTGAATAATAAGAATTATATGTCACGGAGGGGGGCGTGGGGGGGGTTAGAGACGCATCAGGATTTTAGAGACGCTTAGGTTGGGAGGCAGTGCTTTAGAGAGAGACAGGCGGGCGGAGGTAGAGGCAAAGCAGAGAGGGGCCCCTCCAGAAGGCCTCTGCCCCATCCCAAGGGGACCAGGGGCTCTCCCAGGGATTCAGGGCTGAGTTACAGCCCGCAGAGCAACGGGGGCTGGGCATACCTCAGGAAACCATGGAGATGGGGGAGGCGGTGGACGAGATGAACAGACCAAGAGGGGGAAGCCGCTGGGAGAAGTCAGAAAGACAAGGAAAGAGAAAGACAAAAAGAGATGGAAGAGCCCGTGACAGAGTGTGGGGGGACAGAGAAAGAAAAGGGAGCTATGCGTGCCTGTGAGAGAGAGTGTGAGAAAGAGAGCGAGAGAGAGGAGAGGGGGGAGGAAGAAGCAGGGAGAGAGAGAGAGAGAGAGAGAGAGAGAGAGAGAGAGAGAGAGAGAGAGAGAGAACAGGATGAGAGGCTGAAGGGAAAAGTTTCCAGGCCAGGCCCAGCCCAGCACCCGCAATGCAGAGGGCGCCCCTCAGTGCTAACAGCAGTGATTGGGGGTCTTAGGAGTTGACTAGTGTCTCTATGGGGGTGCACTGGAGCCAGCAGGTGAGCAAGGGGAACTGAGAGGAGGAGGAAATCCCCCCCCACCTCCAGCGGAAGCCGCCCCAGCTCCCAGGTGCACCCCTTTCCCCTGCTGGATGTGAAATCGCCATTTCACCCCGCCACACTTCTTAATTGTTGCAAAAATCATTTGTGAAATTGGTCTCCAGCAGGCGAGACCAGCCATGCTCATTCCGACAGACACCTCCCCCTCCTCCCTCGCACCTGCCCCCCCCCCCCGGGAGCCCACGGAATCCCCAAGCTCTGACCACGCAGGGTTGCCGCCACCAGCACTGGGTCTGGGGGAGCCTGTTAAGAGGCGGGGGGGGGGGGGGGGGGGAAGGGAGGAATCCTTGCTACTGGACCAGCCATTCTGAGTGGGCTGCCAGGAGGGCAGGAGCCGTGCCAAAGGTTAGGTGGTCCTGCTTGCCTGGGGTTCCAGTGCCCAGCTGGAGGGCCCTGGATCCTGGGGTCCTGCTCTAGGCTTGCCCCACTCCGTTGGGAGAGGGGCCCAATGCCAAGGCTGAGAGGAGGGACCGTCTTCCGGCCTCTGCACCAGGTTCGCTCCAGGGGCCTTTTCCCCAAAACACCCCTTATACCCTCTGGACAGCGTGGGGAGCGACGCCAAGGCAACATGGAAGAGATGCCAGAACATAAACACGGACACAGATGCTCACGTAGAAACACAGCCCTCCCTGGGGACCACCGCCTCCAGCAGCCCTGCACGCAAACCCACCTACACAGGTACCCTGGCCCGTCCACCCACAGACACAGAGAAGAGGCGCCTTGAATCCTTCTGAGCCCAGAGGGAGATCAGTGATGGATGAATGAATGAATGAATGAATGAACAACACATGTAACACATGTCTGTGTATATCAGCACGCATATGCGTGCACATGCCCTGTAGAGCCACCTCTCCACCTCTGGAGGTCAAGACAGGCCTGAGTCTCCAGCAAGATGAGATGTGAAGTCTCCCTCATCACACACACACACACACACACACACACACACACACACACACGGCCTAAAATTTCATCTCAGTCTCTCCTGGGGCAGGAGTGACCCTCAATCACTCCATGGTCGAGTGGCACCGCCAATGAAGAAAGGGACCTGAACACCCCTATGACTCAGGCAGCCGGTACCCTGGTCTGGGCAAGGCACCCTGGTGTCCCCCCTTTCAATTCTGGGGCCACGGAGGGAGTGGGTTTAATACCTTCCAGTAGGTTCCCATTCCTAGAGGGCCTCCCCCTCCCCCAAGAGCCTGAGGAGCCCCCTGTGCCTGGAGGGAGGGCAGAGGAGGGAGTGTGCCACATGCTGAGAGGGCAAAGGTCACAGGTGAGGAAGAGGGGAGGAGCGGGGCACAGTGGGGCCAGCCTGAGGAAAGCCCCCCAGGCCAGGACGAGGCGGACCCAGCTCTGGGAGAGGGCGGGTGGGGGCGGGCTGGTGGGTTCTGGGCGAGTCTGGGGGCTGGGTTTATTTTATTGTATTTTGTGCTGGAGACACTATTTCCCGGGGGAGACAAAAGGCCTGCAGCCCTGGCGTCCTGCCCCGCTGGGAGGGCGTTTCGCCCCCAGGACTCAGCGTCCAGTCCATCCGAGGCCGGGGAGTCCAGTCACTGAGGCCCAGGAGCGCGCAGAATGTCGGGGCCTCTCTGGCCACCCCACCCCGGCTCCTGACCGGCTCCTGGGGCGCGCCCCCTCCAAATTCTGAGCGGAGGAGCTCGGAATTAATGAGCTCAGGGCGGTGCCAAGTGCTGACCCGCTCCCTCCCTCCCACCCCTTGGGACCCCCAGATCCTGGGCACCCCTTGGTGGTTCAGCCTCAGGGAACCCGATTACCTGCTAGAAACGAGTTCTGGGTGTGGCATGGGAGGCGGAAGAGGGTGAGGGGTTTTAACCCGCGGGAGCAGCGCAGGGAAGGATGAGGGATGGATTGGGGGGGTGGGGGGTCGTCCCTAACACCCACAGACCCAGTCTTCTAAGCAACAGACCCTGCCAGTCACCCTCAGCCTCTCAGAGCTGACACGGTTTCAGAGAAAGTCGTAAATCGCTCCCTTGGAGTCACCCTCGGCCCCACTCGCGGAAAATTGCGTGTGCGAGTGAAATGAAGGAGAAGATGTGAAAGGCAGCGGGCGCTGACCTGGGAGGCCAGAGAGAAGGCGAGGGAGGGTCCAGGGGAGCCACCGCCGGAGGCAGACATTCCCCTGCAGCCCGCCCGCCAGCCGCCGGGAGCGAGGGGCCGTGGGCGCCCCGGGGCCTGCACTCCGCGGGGCCACTCATTCGTCAAAAGGAGACACTCGGACAAAGTTAACCCCCTCTCCTCCCTCCTCCCGCCCCCCCCCCCAACTCCTGGCCTTTGCTCCCTGGGTTTTAACGGGCAGTTCAAATTCTCCCCCCAAAACCAGGCCGAGTCGGGGATTAGAAAAGAGAAGGGGGAAAAACTGGTTGGCGACTTCTTTTCGTTATTGGTTCTCCACTCCCTTCCGCCCTGGCCCCCTTCCCTCCGCATAAATAAAAGAAAAGTCGGGACCTATCAGCTCCGGCGCGCGGCCCCCTCCTCCTCGTACTCCAGGGGAGCACTTTGCACAACTTACCCGGAGCACCGCTCGCCCCCTCGCTCGCCCTCGGCATCCCTGTCGCCTCCCCTCTGGCCCCGAAACCCCGGAGGCACCTTCTCCCCTCCCCGCGTGTCCTGGGGGCGGGGGTGTGGGAGCTGGTGCGTAAGGGAGTAGCGAGTGTGGTCTGGAGAAAGGCGTTGAGACCAGTGCGGAGAGGAGGAGGGGGGCGGGGGGAGAGGAGGGAGGGCGAGAGAATAAATATATAAATAAATACGAGAAAGAATCCACTCCGCAGCCTCCCGGCTCAGAAACTTTGGCCGCGAGCGCGACAGCGCGGCGCTCGCGCGTCCCAGGCTGGCGGCCCGGACTGCGGCCGCGTCCCCCGGATCTGCCCCGAGCATCCGCCCGCACAACTTCTGGCGAAGCGGAGCGGGCAGAGGCGGACTTGGGCTTGGCGTGTTTGTTTGTTTGAACTTCCTTGTCGCCACCTTCCCTCCCCGCGCAACCTCCGCCCCCACCTCACCCCCCTCCCCGGCTTCTGGACGCGTAGACTACAGCCGGGGTAGGGGGCGGGGGGTAGGCAGAGTGTGGGGAGGGGAGCGGGACGAGGCTAAGAAAAAAAAAAAGAAGAAGAAGAAGAAGGAAAGAAAGAGATCGCAGCGGGGGTGAAGAGAAAGGACGGGAAGCGCTTTTGGCCGACTCCGGAGTCGCCCCCGGCGCGCGCGACAATGGCGGGCCTCCCCGGCGCAGTACCGAGGATGATGCGGCCGGCGCCCGGGCAGAACTACCCCCGCACCGGCTTCCCGCTGGAAGGTAAGAGCGCGGGCTGGCCTCGCCTCGCTCCTCCGCCGGGAACGGAGGTCCCCGGAGAGGTGGCCGTCTCCAGGGGGTGGTGGCGGCGCCCCGACAGCACGGGGGTCCCCTTCCCTTCTGGGTCCAAGTCCGGGCGCCAGACCCAGGAAGTTCCTGGGTCCGACACTCGTCGGCTTTTGCGTTGGTTTCACAGACCCTCGGCCTCCGCCTCAAGGGTCGTAGGCTCTGGCCTTCACCCGCAGAGCTGAACCGGCAGATTCGGGCTCCTGGTAAATGTCGGGTCCCGGTGGATTTCCGTTCTTTCCACTGTTTTCAGATACTCTCGCCCACTCCGATATTCCTGGGCGCTCTGCGTTCCCCAGCGACAGGCTTTCTGCTCTTGTTTTGAATTGTTCGTTTCCTCTCCGGGTGTCTTCCCATCCCTTTTATTCCGAAATACCAACACGCGTGGTATGTGTATGTCTAAACCGGGCAGGCTATCCGCTTCTGCCCAAGCAACTCTCCTGCTTTGGGGTCTGGAGACCAGCTAATTAGAAATGATACATAGTAACGAATTCCCACCCCCGCCAAACTTTTCACCCGGGCTTCCGAACTCTGGGAACCCTCCCAGGAGAGAGCTTCAGCGTGGCGAGAAGGCACCGCGATGGGCAGGCAAGGGGAAGCGTTCATTTTGTCATGTGTCCTCCCCGAACACCCAGCGCCGCGGTGAGCAGAGAGGACGGGCGGGGAGCCGGTCCCGGCCGGGGAGAGCGCTGGGGACGCGCCGCCCAGACCCTTTCCAGCGTCTTTGTTTTCTTTTCTTTTTTTTTTTTCTTTTTTTTAACGAATGGAAGGTCTTCAACCTGTCAACTGGGAGGGCACACAGCTCCTGGGGGTAGGAACCCCAGGGTGTCACCGATAGGCGCGGCTTTTTTTTTTTTTTTTAATTACTCTTCTTGTAATTCTATGAGGCCCCTGGTGCGTGAGGCTGGGGAGAGGAGGCCGGGTGGGGACGGGCGGGCAGGCAGCCTGCGATCTGGGGAGGAGGGGGGTCCGGACCCTCCGGCTGCGAGACGGCGCGGGTCTCGGAATTAGACGCCGGCGAGGAGAGTGGCTCCGTGATCAAGTGCGCGCGAGCGGCCACGCAGGCGGGAGGGCGCCCGGCCCGGGGATTTGCCGCGCGCTCTCCTGTAGCGAATGCAGGGGAAACCGGCGGCCGAGGACGCGCGGCGGATTAGAACAATATTTGCCCAACATGACGGAGAATACTGAGGAGAGCCGAGTGCCGGTCGCTGAAGAGGCTCTTGAATATAAAGTTGGGCGCTCGAGAGCCCTCCAGCGCTAATGGCATATCCCGCCACGGAGACCGAGGGACTCTGACTTGGCGACGCACGATTTCTGATTAAATCCAAGGGTGGCTTCAGACACCGACTTTTACAAAGAGAGGCGGGGGGGACCGCGAGAGCGAGGGAGGAGGCGGTAGGCACCGCTCGGCAGCCGGAGCCCCTTCTCGCCTCCTCCCTTCCAATTATCCGTCGGCTCCCTCCGCCTCGGCGGCTGTGAAATCGTTCTAATCTGCCGGATCTCCGCAGCCGCCAAGTCCCCAAATTGGGGGGATCGAGGCCGGATTAGTGTACCGGGTGTCCCCCAACCTTCTGAGCAAACTGTGTAGACTTTGCATTAAGGCTTCCAGGCGAGGCGGCTCCCTCCCTGGCACGCACCAGGAGGGCCTGTCTTCCTGGTTTCCAAAGTCACCCCCGCCCCAGGGACCCTGGCCATCTGTGTACCACCTCCCAGAACCCGCAGGTACGGTCCACGGACTTCTGGGGACGAGCAGGTATTCATTTTAGGAGACTTCCCACGATGGAGCATGTCCCCAATCGTCCCCAAACGAAATTAGAACTTTGCGAGAGGTTAGAATCAAGAAGAGTCTGGGGAGGGACAGCCAGGTGCCCCCAGAGCCAGCAGGAAACAGCATGGTGTCACCTGTCCTCGCTATTCCATTAGGGGCGGTGGCCCAAACCGGGGTTGTCAATATAGTCATCAACCAGCCCCTTCTGGCCCCCAACAAAATGAACCCTCTTGACCTCTTGGAGCGTGGAGCTGTCTGGATGGGCCACATCTCGCCGGTACTGGCATCTCTAAGGGGCAGGCGAACCTGCTGCCCAAGCTGCACCCTGGGGGGCAGAGAGCCATTGGTCCCAGAGCCTCCAGGCGCCTCCAGGCTCTCCCTCTGTCTCTCCCTGCCCTTCTCAGAGGCGTCCAGACCCTCCAGGTGTGTCGTCCTTCTGCTTAGGGTGGCAGGACTGGGGACTCACAGCACCTGGGACTCTAGCAGCCAGCTAGGACCCTCTCTCCACCCCTGCAGGACCCTCCCTCTGCTTCAGGACTTTTTTTTTTCTGATGGCTGAACTGCCACTGCTCCAAACCTTGGGCGCTCAGAGCTGTCAGAGGTCTTGGGGCTCAAGAAACACTGGAGTCAAGGGGTGCACGGGGTCTCCTCCGCATCCTCACCCGGTGCCTCTCTCTTTCCTTCCCTCCCTCCCGCAGTGTCCACTCCGCTGGGCCAAGGCCGGGTCAATCAGCTCGGTGGCGTCTTCATCAACGGGCGACCCCTGCCCAACCACATCCGCCACAAGATCGTGGAGATGGCCCACCACGGCATCCGGCCCTGCGTCATCTCCCGCCAGCTGCGCGTCTCCCACGGCTGCGTCTCCAAGATCCTCTGCCGCTACCAGGAGACCGGCTCCATCCGGCCCGGGGCCATCGGAGGCAGCAAGCCCAGAGTGAGTGTCTGCCGTAGAGCGGCGGCCACAGGCCTTCCCCTGGTGGGGGGATCCTGGCCTGGCCCCCTTCACCACCCTGTGCCATCCGGGTGACTATAGGCTTCTTATGGGAAATACGGTGGGAGACTGTCCCCACCCCAGATGTCCCTCCCCATTGTTTGAGTTTCTCAGGGATGGGAATACCTGGGGTCCAGGTTGCCTGAGACTTTGAGGCCAATGAGTCATTCCTGGGCTGTACCTATATCTGTCCTGACTCCCTGTCACCATCCCAGACCAGGGACCGTTTCCCCCTCAGTCTTGTCTGAAATAGTGAGGAGGGGGATCCTGTGGGTTCTATTTCATTATCTCTACCCCCACACACACCCCACTGCCTTCCTTGGAGTCAGACAGGTTCCTTGAAAGGATACAAAGCCCATTTCAGAAGGAGGGCATGGCTACCAGAGCCACCAGCCTGGCCTGGGGCTCTTGGGAAGTTGATATTGAAAGTCTCTCCCTCCCCCCTCCCGTCTTCCCGCTCCTGCCCTCCCACCTCCACCTCTGAAGCAGGTGGCGACCCCGGATGTGGAGAAAAAGATTGAGGAGTACAAGCGGGAAAACCCGGGCATGTTCAGCTGGGAGATCCGGGACCGGCTGCTCAAGGACGGGCACTGCGACCGCAGCACCGTGCCCTCAGGTGAGAAGGCAGCTGAGCCAGCAGAGCCCGGGGCTGCAGGGCTCTGGGGATCCGGGCTGGATGAGGGGGGCGGAGGCTGATGGATGGGGGGAACTTGGAGAAAAGTTGGGAGGGAATGGGAGGAAGAGAGCAGAGAGACAGTGAGGACACAGGAGGGAAGCAAAACCTTAAGGGAGATGGAAGGAGAAGGAAGGGAGGGAGGGAGGGAGAGAGGGAGGAAAGAGGCAGCAAAAAGTTTACTTATCATGTTGGGTGAGAAGCGCTCCCTGGCACTCCCCTAGAGAAGTGGCCTGGAGACAGGGTTGTCCCAGGAGGTTTGATCTCCGGGGGCTCCCTGGACCCCCTTCTTCAAGTCACCATGTCTGTTCTGCCGCTGCCACCAGCCATCAGTGGGTCCCAAATGTGGAGGCCCTGAGCCAGGCTCCCTGCGGGAAGTGTGTGCCTGGGCCCTGGGGCAGGCAGGGCTGGGACACACCTGCCTGTGGCTGCAGCAGCCGGGGCTGGGGGGCCTGCCTGTAGGGAGGCCTGGGGAAGGCGGTGTGGACGGGGAGTGCACCCAGGGTATGTGAAGGCAAAGGCACAGGTGGGTGTGGGGATGTGTTAGGATAGGAGTGCACAGGTGGCTGTGTCTGCCCGTCTTGCCGCTGAGTGTGTGCCCCGTGTGAGTCAGGCTTGCCCATGGGGTGACCCACTGTGCTCGTGCCCCGCGGAGGTGTAAATGCTGGCCTGTGGGTGTGAATCCCCGGCAGTGTATTGGGGGGATGGGGCTTCAGGACTTTGTCCCCAGGGCCCAGGCGGCCTGTGCTCCGCTCCCGCGCCCCAACAACTTATACTCGCTCTTTTGCCTTTGAATTTCTGAGGTTTAGTGAGTTCGATTAGCCGTGTGCTCAGAATCAAGTTCGGGAAGAAAGAGGAGGACGACGAAGGGGACAAGAAAGAAGACGATGGGGAGAAGAAAGCCAAACACAGCATCGATGGCATCCTGGGCGACAAAGGTAGGGACCCTCCCTGCCGGCCACGACCGAGCCCGCGTTTCCCACACGCTGGTGTGCGGGCCAGGGATGAATCGATTGTGCTTTGCTTCTGTGCCCCAGACTGGCGGACAGAACTCGTGGCTCTGGAGCAGCCAGGAGCCTCTCAGGATTTGGGGAGGGCGCCCCCTCCGTGTGTCCCACCGGGCGGGGAGCAGGTGGCCTCCGTTGCCGGGGAGCTCGGCTGCAGGTTACTGCAAGGCGCGCCGACAACCGTGCGCCTAGGGGGCGCGGACTCCGGCCCGAGTCCTCCAGGCCTGGCGTTTTGGCTGCGGGTCCCTGGGTCGATCTATTATTTATAGGAAACTTGGGCAAGGGGGGCGGGGGGCGAGGAAGGAGGGGCCGGCCTGCGGCTCCCTAAATGAATTTGTTAACCAGACCCGCACACGCTCTCTAAACGGTCCCTTGAAACCCCGCCTGACAGCTGACTGACCGCCGCAATCAATAAAAATTAGCGCGGGCCCGCGTGGGCCGCTGCCTCTCATTTCCCGTTGCCAGGGCCCAGATCGCGGCGGCGCAGAGTGGGGAGGCAGAGGGGTGCACTCAGGGCCAGAGCCTGGGCAGGAGGATCCGGTAAAGGAGAGAGATTGGGGCGCTGCACCCCCTCTCGCCCTGTCAGCGCGGCCGCTGGGCGGACTGGAGCCTAACCCGGGCTCTGATTTCCCTGGAGGGAAGCTAGAGGAGCCGTTCATCCTCCTGGCGCCTGCGTGCCTGGGAGAGGGGATTGCTCTGTCCTGTATCGAGGCAGGAAATTTCAGGAGAAGGGCAAGTCCTTCCTCAATCCCTCGTCCCCTGGAAGTTGTCTTTGAGACGTGGTGAGTGTTCCTGCTTTGCGTGAGGGCGTGGGGAGAGATAGAAGCGGGGGATCCGGAGTCACGGGCCAACAGGAAAAGACGCCGGTCCCCGAGGACATGCGCGGGGAGGACAGTGGGAATCTGTACGACAGTGGCTTTGGGAAAAGGGCAGAAACTTGTAAAGAGCACTTGTGTTCGCGTTTCCTTCCAGAAGTTTGTGGAGGCCTCCCTCTCCTTGCCTCCCGTGAACTCCCGGTTCAGGTCTCTCTCCAGTTCTCAGTGGCCTCTCCCAACCTTGAAGGTGAACTTCACAGACAAAGCCCAGCCAGGCCCAGCCCCCACGGGCCTGGTTGGAGGGGGAAGGAAGAGGGGCAGAGGCAGCCCCCTGTGAGAGCAGCTGGAGCTGGGACTGAGCAGGCTATTGACATTCAGGGCCCCCAGTGGAACCCTGTCCGGCAGGGACAAAAGGGCGAGGGAAGAAAGGGAGCGAGCTGTGCCTGACACCCCGCTGTGCGGGGCCTGGCCTGGGTCTTCAGCGGGAGGGGGGCCTGGCCTGGGTCTTCAGCGGGAGGGGCCCTGCCTGCCAAGCAGCCCCTGGCTCTCCTGAGGTCGCCCAGAGCCCTGGCACTCCTGGTGCTGGTGGGAGGGACCCAGTCCTCACTTCAGTCTGTATTGGAAAGGTACTTAGTTGGACTCCTTTTTTGTGGGGTGGGAGACATAAAACTTGAATAATCTTTCCCACCAAATCCTGCACAGCAGACAGCGCTTGTGGGAGGGGTACCCTGGGTGGAGTGCCGGGAGATTTGGTTTTATTTGGAGAAACTTTAGGGGTGTGCCTGTCTGTCTGTCTATGTGGTGGGGGTATGCCCAACTCAGTCTGTGAGGAAGCACAATAGACTCATTTCTTTTGAGAGAGAGAGAAAAAGGGAAATGAAGAGGATGGAAAGATGGTGTGGTTTGGGGAATCCCTTCGACTCAAAGGCATTCGAAGCGGCTTCCGGTGCAGGTCTGGGCTTTTATAAAACCAGCTAACAGGCGGCGACTTCGCTAGATAGAGGTTTTCCCTGCAGCAGGACCGGGAAGTCCCAGGCCTCCAGGGTTGAAGGAGGAGCCTGGCGGTTCCGAAGGGAAGGCTGAGAGCATGGGCACTGGGTCTGTGGAGTGGCAAAGTGAAATGAAAGCCGCGGGCCTGGGCTCAGAAAAGCCCTGCAGTTCTGAGTGACAGTGGGCATGTGGGCATTGTGACTGGAGCTAGGTGGCCACGTAGGCGCTTGTGTCTGTCCGTTGACTGCCCCTCGGTCCTTGGATGGGAGTGCGAGAGCTGTATTCCGAACCAGTGGGCTTCTGTGTGGGGGTGCAGTGTCATTGTAGAGGGGTGCAGTGTGAATGGGCTGTGTGCTGGTCGGTTGCCTGCTCGTCTGTGCACAAATCATATCAGCTCCTGATGTGGTACCTGGGCCAGTCCGTGGGCACCTGGGTGAACTGCCCACCTGGAACCATTCACCTCTCTCCCAGGCCCCAGACATCGGTTTCATGGCCAAGTTAGGGGTTAAAAGACCTCCCAGCCTCCACCAGTATCAACCAGGTGGGGAGAGGCTGCGAGGCCCCGTGGGCAGAGCGCGGGGAGGGGCGCACATCCACAAACTTTGTTTTGGCTCCTTGCGTTGGACAAATGCTTTCTCCCGGGGTTGCCCCACTCGTGGCGGGGAGCCCTGGAAGAAGGGGTTTAAGAGCTCTCCTCTTTAAACGCTAAAGAGAGATCCCTCCCTGAGCCCGCTTTTTCCTGCCGTCCGCTTGGCATTTAATAACGTTAAGACTTATTAGAGCTGGTAATGAAAACTGGGCCTGCTGAATAGGAAGCGGTGTTGGAGAGGGGTGTAATAGCTCCCAGGCATGGTAAGAAACTATTTATCCGCAATCAGTCCTCACTCTCAGAGTTTGAAGCACAAACGTTAAGTTGAAGGGTTTTAAAGCAGATTAAATTGAGCTTTTATTTCTGTGCACTTTCATCTCTGAACAGCTCACTCCTGCTCCCCTTGGGCTGATATTCATGAGGCTGCTCATATTTTTTTTCGCTCTTATCCTTGTTAAGACTGAGTTATTAGGATTGTTGGTTGTGAGGATCTGCAGCCCGATGCGCGTAGGGGCTCCGGCCAAGCTCTGGTCATCTGGAGAGGGGAGTGGACAGTTCGCTGCCCTCATCCGCTCAGACTCTCCTCCATGCCCCTTCTCTGAGGATCAGGGGACGGACAGGCCCGGGACCCAACCAGGAAAGGGTTTGAGGAGGGACGAGAAAGAACAGGATTTTCCTGAGACTCTTGTAGGAAATTTGAGAGGCGTTTGCACAGAGTCAAACCATTCTTCTGGGGAACGGACGGAGTGAATGGGAAGAAATGAGTAATAATAATAATAATAATAATAATAATAATGGCAATAAGCAATAAGAACACCAAAGCCTCCAGCAAGCATCTGGCAATGTACAAACTTAGGCTGAAACGGACCAGATCAGACGTGGGGGCTCCACACGGTTCTCTAAAGCAGAAAGCCCAGCAGGGTCACAATGAATAGGAAGCCAGGGGAAAAGTAACAAGATTAAAAAAGAGGAGTGTGCCTTTTGGGGGGTCCCCAAAGTCCCCCGAGAATGTGCTGGCTTCCCCCTTATGAATGGCCACCTGAGTGGGGGCCCAGGTGTGTGCCTGAGAGAGAGGCAGGTGTGTGTTTCTCTGCCTTTTCCCTTCATCGGTGTTGAAAGCAGCAAACTTACAGGTGTGGAGTGGGAAGTGAAGGAGGAGACTCGGAAGGAGGGAGAGCCCCGAGTGCCGGCTTTAGACACTTGTAAAAGGAGGTGGGAAACAATTTAATTTGGCAGCGGCGGTAGCTGCTAATGCGGTTTTCGGTCGTTTGCTACACAGGAGGAAGCTGTTTTGATTGTGTGTACAAGGACCTGCCAAATTTAATTAGGCTCCGGGGGAGCGAATGAATGGGGGGAGGGGGTGCGGCTCCCCTCAGCCCACGCCGCCTTCTCCTCGGCTTCTTCACACCTGGAAGGGGCATTGTTTACCGGGTAGGAGAGGACGGGCGGAGGGGAGGGGACCCGGAGGGAGAGGGGCTTTGGGAGAGGGAGCCAGGGAGGAGAGAAGATAGTCCATTTATCAAGAAACAAGCGGCATTGATTTAAACCAACAAGTTCCCTCCTCCGTAAATGTGTGTTTAGAGAAAGGTAATTGACACTCCACCAAATCAAAGGATTACCCCGGGTTGGCAATCTAATCAAACGGAGTCCAGGCGGGATTTGAAGCTGTTCAAAGTGGGATCAGCTTCGCATAATGGGGGCGCGGAGGAAGGCGGGAGGGCGCCGGGCGATTCCCCGGCTTTAGGCGGCGCTGGGTGGTGGATATTCAGTGAAACCCGAGGGGGAGGCCCGCGCGATGGGGGTGGAAGGGGTGAGCCGAGGGGAGCTGTGCTTGGGAGGACTATCCCCGGGGGAGGCGGCTCCTGGCGAGTCTAGGCGGGGCAGACACGGCGCCCCCTTTCTTCCCTCCATCCTCCCCCCAACCGAAGAAGAGAGAGGGAGAGGGGAGGAGGGAGCGGAGACCGAGGAAGAACAACAATGAGATAACTATTACAAAGGCAAACACTGGCGCTCGCTCGCTGGCAGCCCCAGAACCCGCGGCAAATAAACAAAGTCCGCTGTTTGCCAGATAAACTCGTGCCTAAATGGAGTGTGACGGGGGCCGGGGAGAGAAGAGACGGGAAGAGATAAGGTTGGAGGGGGAATGAACGAATATAATCTAATAGACGTTTAGAAAACAAACTTTAAACAAGGGCGAACAGGCGAGCGGCGCGTAATTATCCGCCCCAGAGACCCGAAAAGCCCTTGCAGGTTGGGGCGCTGGGGGTGGAGTGGGGGACCTCAGCCGAGCCTTGCAGAGCTGTCTGTTGGGGGGTGCCGCTGGGACTCCACTGGGAACCAGAAGAGGGCCCCCGGGGGCGCACCTGGAAGGGCTCCGCTGCCAGACGGAGGTCCCAGCGCAGCCCCCTGCTCCCCAGCGCATTTCTCAGCGGGTGGGGTGCCCTGCTGTCGGGCCCGCGAGTTTTACGCTCACCTCCCTGCGGCGGCGCGCAGCACCACACACACCGGCTGTTTGCAGGCGCGTTTGGACCTAAAAG